ACTGCAACATTTAACAAGACAAAAAACAAAATGGAGCTGTTAATGTTGCTTAAAGCAGCAACATAAATTTACACACCCTGTAAAAATTAGGAGGAACCATTTTAATGATTTACTTATTTTCAGTTTAGAAACTCCCAAGCAACAATGTGATGTCCTACAGGGACATCAAGTCAGTGTGTCCACAGTCACCGAGGTCAAGGTGAGATCATTGTAGATGACCAGTTTGTTGATCTTGTGAAGGTCTCGTATGCGATACTTGAACTCCAGAACGTGAGCCTTGTTGACCGCTATCTTGAATTCGTCTGTGGTGCAGAGGATCTTCATCTGATTCAGGAAGATGACAAACATAAGAAGGGACACTTATTTGAATGCAAAGTCTCTTCTTGGGAGCCTGCGCGTTCATCATTGCTGTTGTCTTCTTGATGGAATAATATACTTGTGCTAATTCTAATAAACATCTTCCAATGACAGAAGGATACTCTGTTAGCTAAACTGTTCTACCATATACATTGACTTGCAAAGGTATGCACTCCCTCCCAATGATGTCTGATTTTGTTATCATGTTGCCACCACCATGATTGACAATAAGGATGACCAGGAATTGACTAGACAATGCTGTGTTACACAGAACTTGCAACAGATATGTTACTTTTCATGTGGATAAGAATGTTCCAATTTTTTCTAACTACAAATGCTTTTGCTCCATGCTTGCTTGGCTGTAAAGTCTGTGTAGGATTTGAGATGTTTTGTTAATAATGGTTTCTCTCTTGCCCCTCTGCCATACAGGTGAGCTTTAAAGCAGGAATGTTTCCTGGACAGCTCCATTTGAAGGGACGTCCCAGAATCTGCCCAGGAAGTTCCTGAGTTGTTTTATACACCTTCATTTCTTAAATTACATTTAAAACCAAGAACAGAATGTATTTTTTCCATCCAAAGGATTGTGGGAGTACAGCCATGTGGTTGAAGATGATATTCTGGTTTCTTTCTAGAAAGAGCTGCTTATGACACTTGGATCAAATTAACTACTAATTACTCAATGAGACAGATGGATTGAATGGCCTCTGATTTGCAACATTTCTTATGTTCTAATTTTCCATGTTCTCAAAGATCCTTGCTCTTCATGGTTGAATCTTTGCAATGTCGGATTCATGGGTTAAAAAACACTGCTTGATTAAAAAACTTTACAGAGATATATATATATATTCTCAAATTACATGAATCAATATTATTGCACAAAGATATAGACCACTGAACTGTGTGACTTCTCAAAGTAATTTTGTGCTCCTGAAGTAGGTTTGCTATAGCACAGGGGTTGAACACTTATGCAAATCACCTTTCAATATTTTAGTTTTTGATGTTTCTGTGCAGTGTTTCATCAATTTTCTTTTTTACATTTAAAGAATTTACAAATTTGTTCGTTCACTGGAGTTCAGAGTTAGCATTCGGGTGTGCTTAGACATATTCACTTTAAATGGGCCTGTTACTGTGCAACAGCATGGGTCATCATGGGTTCTCCCTATACTCCAAAAACATACTGGTGGATTAACTGACTTCTACTGGCCCTAGTGTGAGTGTGTGCATGTCTGTGTCTGTGTGCCCTGCAGTGGGTTGGCATCCCATCCAGGGTGTATCCCGCCTCGTTCCAGAATAGGCTCCAGCTCCCCCTTGACCTAGAACTGGAAGAAGCGGTTAGAAAATGGATGGATTTTTGGATGGATGGATGGGGCACCATGGGAAGGGGGCGAATACTTCTGCAAGGCACTGTAGGTAGTATCCTCTTCTGGGCAGGCACAGCAGTTCTGTCCATAGGTCCTATCTGGGTTCACGCTACTGCCCTGTTTAAAGTTACTCACCTCAAAAGGCTTTCCCTCCACAAAGGGGTAGTTTCCTCGAATATGCCTCTCCTCGTGGCCCCACCGGTCGCCAATCAGAGAGTTCCTCACTATCACCTTCTTCCCATGGTCGTTGAAGCGCGGGTTGATGTGAAGGGCGATGTCTTTGTCTCTGTGGAAGTCTAAGGTAATCCTACAGGGGTAAACAGTGAACAGTCTTTACATGAAGACTTTACAGACCCCAACTCTTTCTCAATATGACCTCCCCACAAATAATTTTTTTCTTCATTTCTGAAATTTCTGGCCACCTCTTAAAAAATGGTAGTTTGTTTCTCTTCTCCTTGAAAATTAATCAAAATCAACAATTATCCAGCCAATTTGATAACATAAGAACACCTCTGCTTTCTGAGAAAAACATCTTGCTGGTTCTCCAATTTTTCTCATTACAAAAGCTTCGTCCATCTTGTATTGCAAAAATCTTTGTGAAATATTAATCTAGCATGTTTACTATATCTTTATCATATTCTATTATTAACTGCCTATTACCTCACAACTATATACAACTTCCTTTTATATACACTTTCTGTTGTACAAAAAAGCTTTGTAATATTTTTGGCCACCATCTTCCTTGTTGGAATTCTAACTTCCTTTTTCAAATGTACCTTTAGCCCATTTCCCCATCTTTGAATCTTGGTCCCTTTTATAAAGTCTGTAGATCACAAACTTCCCTTCCAAGATTTTTCTTAACAACTCTATTTAAATATATAGGCCATATTTTCTCAGGCTTGGACTTTTTTTAGGAATTAACTCCTTGGAGCCTTGAACATGTCTTTGATCTTTAACTGTCCTTCTCCTGGACTCCCTATTCATCATTTGCATGACTTGCCTCGATCTTTGTCTGCTTTTATAAAATTACATGCCCTGATCTTTAATTCAGGTTTTAGATATTTAATGTAATCATCAAAAGATATCATATTATCATGACAATTTCCCAAGTATTCCCAATATCATCCAGGTGGATGCTGCACATTGGTGGTGGTGGAGAGGAGTCCCCATTACCTGTAAGGTGCTTTGAGTGCAGTGTCCAGAAAAGCGCTATATAAGTGTAAGGAATTATTATTAATTATTATTATTTCTATTCTGTCTTTCAATCTTGAAAAGATCATCTTTACAATCGATTCCTTAAAAAGAAATCAATAACTATGTCAATCATGTCAGATTCAGATTCTGTATCCGCCATCACAATATTCAAGTTTATGCGTGGCACATTGAAATCTGCCAGTAGTATAACATCAGTTTAGCAGCTTACCTTCTTGATGGCATATTTCATTAAGCTTTCGTGCCCATGTACTCATTGAGTGATCTGCAGCTACACCTAGTGGTAAGTCTTTTCAATATCTATTCTCAAGCCACCCACATCTTCTACTCTGCTTCTTGTGCCAAAACAAAAACAACTCGTGTCCATTACTTGATTTTCCCATTAACACAGCTGCCTTGTGTTCTTGCATTTTATTCCTTAAGCTTCTAGCACAAGGGCTTTTCTCATCCCACCCGAGTTGGCCTGTTGTGAGCTCTCTGCCCCCCAGTCTGCTAGTTTAAATATTTCTCAACTCTAATAATACGCTTATTCTCATATTACCACAGAACGTTGGTGTCCCTCTGGTTCAAGTTCAATTAAACCTGCTTTCACATGTCCTGTTTGTTCCAGAAGGAATCAATTTGACTAAGCTTTGTTTTGGAAATAGTGACTCAACTGAAAGCAAAGAACAGCGACAGCAATGCAATACCACCGCTATCATGGTTACGAAAAGGCTGACATCGGTACCCACATTTTAGGGTTAGGCTTGATCTCCCCAGTGATGGTTATCAACATCTTGTCGTAGATTCCTCTGGGCAGTTCCAGGGTATACGGCACAGACTGAGACAGTGAGAGGGTGACACAAGAACATTTAAACATCCTGGAACCCACACAAGTAGCACTTAGTGCTTGGGTTGGTTTCAAACTGTTAACCAGTGTGTTAACATATCATTAAGCAGCAAACATGGATCTATTAGTCACACTTTAGTATTACACTACAGCTTTTACAACAAAATCTATAACCTATATATCTCATATGATTTCAAAATGACTACGTTTATAGGTACTGCTTATCAAACACTTTTCTGAATGAATGTTGAATTTTAATAACGCATTTTGTTCTGTAATAAAACAGTGAAGATGCCCTTTTGAAGTTCTCCGCTCTAGCTGTTCCCATTTGATTTCACCTGTAGACTGTCTGCTTTGTGCCACTTTAATCAGTGTCCCCTACTCACTTCCTGTCTGGAAGGCTTTCAGAAAATGAGCCGACGTGAGTGATCCTTAAAATGAACTTAAGTGTAAGTGTTTCAGAGGTGGATCTAATTAAAGTTTTACTTAATCAAATATTCAGGTAAATGAAGGTATCTACTGAGTGATTAGGAACTAAAAAGGAAGGAAAACTGAAAAAAGATAAACTGGTCCTGGAGTTGGATTACTCCCCCTCCTGTCCCCCACTATGTTAGTGAATCACTGCAATCCCTTACCAAGGGCCCACTCACAGGGGCAGCGGGCGCCCCTGACCATGGCTGTTCTCCAGGGTTCCCAGGTGGTGTGGGCTGAGGAGGCTGTCCTGGCCAACCTTGCTGGCCAGGCTGCCCAGGCCACGCTGGCTGACCAGGCCAGGCTGGTTGATTAGGTTGACCAGGTTGCCCGGGCCAGCCTGGCTGATTGGGCTGACTGGGCCAGCCTGGCTGATTGGGTTGACCAGGTTGCCCGGGCCAGGCTGGTTGACCGGGTTGCCCAGTCCAGGCTGGTTGACCGGGTTGCCCGGGCCAGGCTGGTTGACCGGGTTGCCCGGGCCAGGCTGGTTGACCGGGTTGCCCAGGCCAAGCAGGCTGCCCCCCACTGCCACTCTGCTGGCCTGGCCAGGGGCTGTTCTGTGCTTGCCCAGCACTTGGTTGATCCCCACCCAGAGCATCTGTGAGCTGTCACGTTAAAAGAGAAAGAAAATCATTTCCTCATACCACCAGCCACCACCCCCCCCCCAGCTCAACTACAACCAAATAAAATAATTGGTTTATACTGACTGGTTCATGCAATCCATTATCAACTCCATTATCAACTAATAACTCCATTATCAGCACTCCATTATCAACTAATAACTTTCAAATCTCCTCTTTCATTTCCAGATGGCTGTCTTTCAGCTGTAACATGCCTCCCCCAGGAACTTGTCTCTCGCGTTTCTGATCCACTTTTTTTACTTACTTCCTACCCAGTTGCATCGCTTTTCTCTTTTATTTTTCCCTGCAGTGGCTATATTTAGACCAAATACGATAAAAAAAACCAAAAGGGTAACTTACTGAAAGTCCATCGCTCATTTTGTCAGCAAATGAAGACCGTGTGTTCTTAACAACTCTGTTAAAGATAACAGGAACCTATGAAGCACCTCAGCTATTCAGCTGGAGTATTACAATCATGCAATAAATAAATACTAACTGAGAGCTCGGGTAGAAGACACTAAGGGTAACAAGGTTAGGCACAGGGCTCTGACTGCGGACAGTTTCACTAACGAGGCCACTCAGGATTATGACCATAAGTGGAAGATGTATGTTATATATGGGGTAGGTTAATGTTTTATTTGATATTATCAGCATCTTCATCTCACTCTCCACGATGCAGCAAGCTTTTATATAAGTTTATCATGGACACCACAGTGTATGTTAATTGTAAGAAAAGTCTACATAAATCTGGTGGATTACAGTATTCCTAAATTCAGTGCCGCATAAATGTGAATTTTTATTAGTGAAGTCACGCATGCAGGATTTCTTAGAGAAATTCCCCATATTTATTTGGCAGGTTTGAATGCTGTGACCCCTCCCTGTCAGACTCCACAGTAAAGAATCATGCACTTTTAGGAACCCCCGGACTATAAACATGAGAGGTCCTAGTCCTCCACAATACCATGTGGTGAAGATGGAGCTATTTTGTTTTGTTATTTTAAGCTATAGTGTCTCAGCTACACTAGGCCTCCTCAAGGGTTCCAAGGGAATTACTGCTAATACTGGGCACAACCTTTTGCCAGCCCCTCATTGATCATGCTGCTTAATGAATCAAATTTAAAGTTTGTGGCAAGTAGCTAGCAATTGATTTAGATTGAGCAATGTAGCCTGGAGGACATGCTCTCCAAGAACAGGTTCTCCGCCTCTGACATACAGAGCCTAAGTTTACATTGTGGAAGAACTTCATTTCTAACCTGTTTTTTTGCCCACAGTATGCAATACTGACTGCAGTTCGGTTTTCACTCTGTATCCAGCAGAGGGCTCAATCTTATATACTGACTGTAATTCAACAATGCAACAAAATGCCAAAACCCATTATGAATTCTTACAAAATTAAAAAATACAGGGTTCACAAATGGCTTGCACATTCATTTTCATGTTTTCAAGCAGACATATGGAGTTTTCATCAAGCTTATAGAGTATTTTCTTAAAAGAAGGTAGCCACCTAACAACTTCAGCACCTTTGGGCATACTGATAATAAATGCCCTCCCCTGTCATCCATTTCATAATGGGCTGTTAATAATTGATAATACAGCTTTCAAATGCAGCATCAGACAAGCCCCATTTTGTACTGTGATATCCCTTTTGTAGAAGTGGAAGGTCTATAAAAGTTTGTGCTAATTATCATTTCTGGTTATGACATACATATTCACAGAAGGAGTAAATGAAATGAAATGCTATTTTGCAGCTGATTAATCCACATACTGGATCAACCATTTCCTACATCACTTAAACAGGGGGTGTCCAAACCACAGTCGCAATGTTCTTGGGCATATTACAGTCTGAGCCTCTGAAGCCGCAGGAATAGGACAGGTGACAGAAGCACCAATGTGGAGTTGCATCCGCACATTCTGAAGGAGAATGTCAGACCATCCACTTGTCAGCTAAAAGTGGGTTTTATAGCAAGACAATGTTCCTAAACATACAAGTAGATCTTCAACTGAATGGCTAACAAAGAAGAGGTTTTGCAATTTGGAGTGGCTAAGTCCAGACTTAAACCCCATTGAACTGCCATGGCACGACCTGAAGTGAGCTTTCTTCTGTTCGTGGAAAATTCCTAAAACCTGAAGTGGGAGATTGATGAACAGTTACAGAAAAACGTCTAGCTGAAACCTTCGCTGCTGAAGGATTTGCCACCTATTACTGAATCTAAGAGTTCAGAGACTTGTCACACAAACAGACATACTGTTGGACCATTTTGTTAATTAAATAATCTAAATAGAACTCATGTCTCTGCATTACATGTTTAATCAGGTTATCCTCATTTTTCTTAAGACCTTCATGAGGATCTAATAACATCTTAAGCCAAAAATACAGTGAGAGTACCGCTCAACTGAACTACACACAAACATTTTCTCAGTACTGTATGCAAATATGAAAATTAAAATATTGTACTCTTCAGTAACATTTTCTTTAGACCACTAAATACATCATTCCACCAGCAGCTGAAATATAGGGAAAATATGCTGTACGCCAATGACAATGTAATGCGTATGTTCGTCTTGAGTTTTGTCTCTTGTGTTGAAATCGGTCTTTAAGATAAGCTTTTTACTTGAATAATATAAAGATAAAGGGTTTCCAGCAAAATGGTACATATAAAATATGTACTTTCACTCTTGTAAATGATTTAAGCTGGAGGCTTATTTTCAAAACAGTTTCAATCCTCCCGCTTCTGTATTAAAAGACGTCGTTATCCTCTGAAATACTGCAGTTTTTTTTTCAGTTCTGCATCCAGAGTACTCGGATGAAACAAGCTGTCTAGAGATAGACGAGAATAATAGTTGGTTTTACCTGCGTGTTGATGCTGAAAGTTGTCTCCAGTACAGGTAAAAAGCAAAGACGAGCTCTCACGCAGAAGTGTTAAGCGGTTCACAGCCTGCAGTTCACATACGAGACCACACCTCGACTCGAATGTCAGGTTCTTAAATGACCACACCCATTAAGAGAAATATTGTGATAAACAGGCAGGGGGGCTGTTTTTCGAAGCAGTTTGAACTGCTTTGGTGGACTTAATTAATCCAGTCACTGACATCAGACTTGCTTCGGTCTCAGCTGTCGGGCTAAATAAAATTGCCAGGTTCAAACACCCAATCTACCCGCGAGTTAAATCCCCACTTCAGAAAGCAGGAGCGGTCGAGCATCGAATCATTCACCCTCACCAGCAAAACCACGTTCGTCTTATTCCTGACACCAGGAGTTCCAGCTCCTTGTGGAAAACTATAAGGAGATAAAATCTGTTCTAATGGCAATAGCGTAGCCGCTGTATAAACCAGAGAATACCCCTGCAATCACTGATAAGTGGAATGCGTATTATGTTTACTATATTATGTAGTATAATGAAATATATCAAGATGTGATAAAACTATTAAATGTGCGCTAGCACACATGTATTGTCATGGGTTAACTTACATTATTATGGCAATGAAGTGGAGCTCTTACTTAAGCCTTGATGTAGTTGTACAATATTGTTTTTATGCAGCAGTAATTTATGCATGTACAGTAGCTGTACCAAAATGGGAGGAGCTGGCAGTAGGTCAAGACAAAATATAAGAATATCGTCCGCAATTGTATTTGCACACTGTAGTGCACCCCTCTGGATGAAAATGTTCCCTAACTTTACCCAACAACATGGAGTGTGAGCAAAGGAAAACTGGACGAGGAGGAGAAGGAATCAACATCAACACAATAAAGAATGGAATCCTTTATTTGGTCATTGTCTCTTTTCTTTTCTCAATTATTGATGTGAATCAGCTAGTATAGGTGAGCCCCCCAAGTTTGTAGAAACTCTCAAGCCAGGCATAAATGTGACCTAATGGAATAAAAACATAACCCAAATACCATTAGATAAAAGTATATCACCAGTTATCTACAATGATGTTCAGCTATGGTGTCTCTCTCAGCCATACCACCTGGCTGATCCATACGAATGAGAGGGGAAAGGTATGGGAGGTGGCAATGTACTGGTGCAGAGCAGATTCCACAATGATGTCACGTGGATTTATTCAGTACTACTTAACCCAAAGACATGCACTACTCAGCCTAACAAATAATTTAAGTGAAAAGGAGCCTTAAAATACTTCATGGAAAACCATGAAACTTTATATTTTATAAGTAAACATTTAGCTCTTTTTAAAGAAAACACTCAACAAAGGTACAGAAATGAGTATACGGTGCCCTTCATGAAACAAATGCATCGTACTATATTCAACAGGCTCGTTCATATCTGTCCATTCAAAGATGTAGTCAAAAAGGACTCTAAATGTTCCAGGATAGGATGTGTTTATCACCTATCCGTGAGCAATTAATACCAACATCGGACTCGAGTATGAACAACAAAAATATTTTGTTTTATTTATTATTTTCGTTTTATATCTTTAAAGAAGAAATGCATGGGTGAACTGAATCACCCTCCGATCAGGATGGTCTGCTTTTGTTGTTTATCCTTGGTGATGTCTGAAACCTAATCTTATGGTGTGGTTTGGTTTTCCCTTGTAACATTCTTTGAAGGACAAGAGTCAAATCTGCACAGGACGCACCCTGTCTGTCACACCCACAGAGCAGAACTCACAAGTAAAACACTGGCCATTGAGAAACAGTGCAAAGTGTAAGATCTTCCAGCATTATAAACTTTCCCACATGTAGAGTGCAATTAAGATTTGGTGTTGCCAAGATCAAGACTGTATGGAACTAGGATTGTGTTTATGCCTTCATTCAGTGAACCTCCTCCAGTATATTGAATGAGAGTGAGAAAATACCTGAGGATTACCGGAGGATTGATGGCTGTCAGACAATACTCAAGTTTCTGCTTCTGTAAACTAACAATGCTGTACCTGCAGTCATTCCTGTTGCTTTGGAAACTAGGGAGGGGTCAGGAGACAGTCAGACAGTCAGAGGTATGATTTACTTCTGTATTCTAGGGAGAAGCATAGGCACACACCCACAAAACAATGGAAGAAAAGCTAGCTTATACTAGGTGTTTGACTCCATCTACATTAAAAACAGATTTGATAAAAATATTTTTTTTTACCCACAAGCTCTCATTTTAAATTGAACATAAATAAGGAAATCATAGACTATGGTACGATTTCATTCTGCCACAATAGGAACTCTTTTCAGTTCTTTTTCAGCACTAGTTCCTGTAAAATGTCCCAACAGTGAGGGAAGGGTATGCTTTTTAACTTGGATAAAGAATTGATTTGTAAAGTGTCAGATACATATGTAACATTAGATTAATCTAAGGTCAAATGCCATCATTACTTTTGCACTCAATTGTAATGGCTATGGGTCATATTTAGTTACACAATCACACAGAGCCGCAACTGCAGTCATGAGACTGTTGCTCATGAAAAAAAGCACGTCTAAACTTGATGACTGTAGAGACTGTCTTTGCTATACCATTGCCATGGAAACCACTGACAGAGCACGAGCTTCAGCATAACTGCCATTACCGAAATGCCTAACCCTCCCCACCCTCTGCCATGTGGAAAAGTCAACTCAGCACACACTGAGGCACTCTGTACTCGGGGCTCTGTCCACTAAACTGCCAGGGCAATAAACAAGACTCCTGTCTGAATAACTATGGAACATCTCACAGAAACAGGCCCATTACAATCAACGGGACACTTGCAGATTTAAGCTACCAGCTGACAAGTATGTCTGTTTTCAGGCAAACACAAAACATTCATTTTCTCTATGTGGAGCACTGTAGGACAGCAGCTCACAGTTTTTCTAAAGAACACGTGCAGAAAACAAAAATTAAACAGTCAACAGGAGGAACATTTAAGCTTTAGATAATGCAAAACATTTTATTTTTTCATATTGTGATTATTACAAACTCAAATAACAATCAAGTTCTGAAGTAATATGGTCAGAGAAAACAGATTACTTTTATATAGAAATCACAATATAGTTCCCGTCTTGAAGCACTATATAAGATAGCCATTGTGCTAGTGTGGATGACTTCTGAAGATACACAGGAATGTTCTCCATTTTGAAATAAATTACTACCTTTGGTACTTAAATCTAATGTCCTACTGTATAAAATCAGAAAATGATTTTTTAAATTATTCATTTAGCAATTGTTTGGCAGTTGTGCTTTCCCTAAAGTGTTCTGTCTGGCACACTTGTTCATTGTACTACTGTAGTTGTGCAACACAAGTGTGATATTTTTGGTGGTCAGGGAGTATTTTCATTCTCCCCAATAAAATATAAAGTTCATCTCAAAGCCACAAACCCAAAAAAACTAGAGTGGATATTTGCTAGACTAGCACATGACAATGGCTTTGACATTTCTGTCTTTGCTGTGCTTTAAAAGATTGATTTCAAAAAGTGGATTCTTGCTTTTGGACAAATCTTGTTTTTAAGCTCTTCTCCAATTGAATGGCTTGACTAGATGCAGTTTTCCTCTAATTTAAATCCACCATACTGACAACTGATGACATTCTGTTTTAGATAAATATTGAGGGCAACAGCTCAGCTTAAATGTTACAGACATGATTTTAAAGGTAAATGCAGGTCAACATAAAAGCTGAGAAACTACAGTTTAATCAGAAAAATAGAAAATTACATTTTCTGATCTAAACCTGATCTAAACAGAGACAGAAACAGGGCTGTTTTAAAATTAAAAACCCTTCACATGCATTTCTTTACCAGTTTATGTATAAAAGTAACAGTAGACATGCATCAGAATAAAAAAATGTTCCTATAGTATGTTTGAAAAGACTTACAACATTTTCTATAAAAGAGAAGAAGCAGAACTTTTCCTGGAATACCGTAAAGATTGCAGCCTGCATCCATTCAATTATATTTATGTGCCTTAATCATTAATGATGTACATACATTATACATAGAATTTGTTTTATTTATGCACCTTCTCCTACGTTTTGTGTGTTGTAGTGCTGCAGCCTGTAGTGCAATGTTCTTGGACATTACAGCATGCAGATGGATAATAATTGTCCTATACTTTCAAATACTAACATTAATCAGACCCAGTCGAGACCCATAATATTTAAACGTATCACTGCAATGTCCTAGAGTACACTCCAGGTAGCTCTAGTACTTTGGCTAGTGCTGCAGTAAGACCTGCTGGATGCCGTGAAGGCCTCTGGGTGTTAGACCATGCTGGGAGTTACACTGAACAGAGTCACGTCCCCCTGGACTCGCAGAAGGGTCACGTCCTTCAGTGGCTGCACACGGTGCCTGAACTCCAGCAGATGAGCTCCGTCCACTGCGACTTTATACACCTCCTCCTCGCACAGGACTTTAATCTGAAAGGAGCAAGAAAGGGTGGTTAAAGCACTGTTTACGGTTGTTAAGGTACTGTAACATGTTGCAAAGGTAACAAGCAGAGGTTGACCCCACACTGAAAAGTAAAATGAGAGATCACTACATATTCCAAAACAAGCACCCTTGCGATCTCACATTTGAAGAGGCGCCACAACTGAAACACAATTTCTTCCACTCTGTGTGAAATTAACCTCTACTTGTTCCTTTGCAGCTCACAGCTCACATGCTAGCAATCATCCTGAAATGCCTTTTTCCCCCCATTACTTCTTAAGATATTAGCACTTTTCACAACCTCAGTTCAGCATCAAAGGGATTTTGCTTTATTTTCTTGTTTTATTATTTTACAGAGTCTGTGAGAAGGAAGTTCTTCATCACAATTCCTCTACACTGCAGTTATGTTCCATAGTAGGCAGTACCCAGGCTTCAATTCATGTATTCTGTATAATAATTATTTTCTGTATAAGAGCAAACATCTGATTGAACCGCACTCACACATACTGTATATCACAGGATACAAGACCACCACTATTTGACCTTATCTTTTAATTACTGAGGAATAGGAAGTAATTAATTGTGTAAGACAGGACATATAAAGGGGAGTGTAGCTGCTAATTATATGGAGTTAAATAATATAAAATATCTGAAGTTTTACAAAGTGTCATTATCACACCCAGTGTGTTTTTAAAGATCCTATTTACTGCAGCTGTAACTGTGAAGAGACTGGAGAAGAATAACAAAATTCTAAGTATTTTCCTGTAGTGCAGGAATGCCTCTTTATTCCAAAAACTGAAATGATAACATATAGAGGATACAGTTATTCCTTAAACGGACTGATCATTGTCAAATATGTAATTTGACTCTCATTGCATGGCATTGTTCCTTAAAGAAAATGGATAAAATAACTGAAGTGTCCTGTTAGTCTGTTGAGAAATGTTAAAAGAGAACAGAAGCCATTCCTTCCCCATTATTAACACAGGCAGAGTTGTTGAGTTGGTTATTTAATATAATTATAACTATAATATTCAGCTGTTACCCTCTTACCTCGAAACGCTTCCCCTGCTCAAAGGGAAACCCTCCCTGTCTCTCTTCAGGGCCCCAGCCCCCGTTTAAAAACGAGTTGCGGACCACCGTGTTCTCAGTGAACCGAGGGTTGAAGTGAAAGGCCACATCCGAGCCACGTACAAAATCAAAGTGAAACCTGAAATACAACCAGGACATCCCTGAATCTGTGAGGGAAACGGAAACAGTACTGACAACGGGCCTCCCCCTTGCTGTGAACAGACTTTCGTTCTACTCATCCTCGAGATTTCACACCTGTATCGGTCGTCTATTGTTCCACTTCCTGCTGCGTTTCTATTTTACTATCAGCGGTTACAGCAAACGAGAGAATCAGGGACGATCATCAAGCGACTGAAGGAAAACGTCCAGCCCCAAGCAAAAGCTGATGGCAGGAAGAGCGAAGATCTAAGATGTACCAAATACGTAAGATAAGAGTGAACATCCTGGAGAATTGGAGGAAGAAGAGCTTGTGTTGAAGAGGGCAGGCAAGCATAAAATGAACTATGTAGGAAGAAGTGGAAATGATGGTCAAGACTTTAAAAAGCAACAAGATCACTGGTTTTGACAGGAATTCCAGTTGTGAATATTTATGCAGCAGTTACGCAGAATATACAACGAAATATGGAAGAGTGGAAAAAGGCCCAATTCCTGGTGTCCATCCATTGTCACAATGTTTCCAAAGACAGGAAACCCAAAGGACTGTGCAGTTGGATGCCATATCTCTTGTGAGAGGGTAAAAGATAGAACACAAAGTTCAGTGAAGAAGGATAAAATACCTTAGGTTTACCAACTAGATAGACCCTAGCTGTAACAGATGAGGAAAGAAGCAGTTGAGAGACAGTAGTGAGAAGGACTATAGACTGTATAAATAAGGATAAATGGAAAGAAATAGGAATATGTAGAAATCGTGCTGACACGTAAGAAGTTAGAATGTGAGGAACAGTTTCTTATATTTTGGAAGTTTAATAACAGGAGACAGTAAATACAAGTACAGTGAACAACAGGAGCAGCATTACGGACATCTGGTAGACTAAAGGAGATCTGGGAGAATGGCAACCTAACTTCCTGTTTCCTTGATTTGGACCTTGAAGAAAAAAGCAAGGGGAAGGATGAATGTATTTCTAGAAGAGCTACAGGAAGATTTTAAAAAGCAACTGGTAGCAAAATATAAGAGAGGATGGTTTTGGAATCTATCAGAAAATAATGAAGAAGGGTCTCACAGGCCTGGTCACTCTTGGGTGCATTCTAGGGATGATTGTTTGATTGAGTTACAGCTGGATTTTAAAGTCAAAATGCACAATCAAAGAGCAATGCTTGTATAGACAGCGCACCTATGTGTTCTGAAACATTAAGCATTTAAATGTGCGTTTCACCTTACAGGAAGTCTCTTTACCGGTGCATAAAAAACAGCTAACCTTCACAAGTGTCAAATAACAAGCAAAAATAGAAAAATACAGATGGGTCACTCTTTTAAACTATCGCTGCTTCGTCAGGCTCTGGATCATTTATGTGAGGTTTGGGGCTGGGCAGAAGAGTCTAGAGTGCTTTCAGAGGATCAAGAACATGTCCCAAGTCCTTTAATAATGAGAGAGAAGCCTGTTGGTGTTACCTCTCCGAGTTCTTTGTAGGTTCTCCTACGATGGTGATCATCAGGCGTGGCAACACCCCTGCCTGTAAGGGCAGCTCATAGGGAACAGTCTGAAATAAGAAGGACACTTTTAAATACACGATTTCTTACTGAAATCGTCCTTCAGAAGCAATAAAACTAAGAATTCCTGCTGCCTTTTTACTGTGTGCAATGAGGAATTCCTATTATTGCTGTTTTTGTTGAGTGAGTTTAGGAAGAACTTAAATAAGAACCAATGTTTTATATACAGCAAGATGTTATGTCCATTTCCATGAAGCACTCAAACATCTGAAAAACAATAGTGGCCGGCTAGTCTGAAGATCCAGCTTTAGCAAGAATTTTACTGAAAAACAGCATAGAATGTCAATAACCTGCTGGTGCTGTTGTTAAGCAACACAAAGGGCAGTACTTATGGAAGTGGGAGTGACTGCATGTTTTCCATCACAAATCTTATATATACACCTAGAAAGGCAAACAAATGGTATAGACACTTTAAAGAAGAATGTATGGCAGTTGGTATAAAATGGTTATAGGTGTTTAGTTAATGCTGCACCTACAGTAAATACAGCAAAATGACCGTTCCCTCGCATGTTTACAATACGTTGAACTTCTGTAAATTTGAATAAAACTTAGTGGAGATTTTGTTCATTCCAACAGGGTAAAAACTGCTTTCTCCACGGAAGTCTTTGATGGTGTCAGAAAAGCACTACTTATGGATGAATTTGTAAGATCTGAGCTGTTTAACTTAAATACACTGCCATGATAAAACAGAAAAGGCAGTTGAGGAAAGAATCAAGAACACATTTCCATAAGGATACAGGCAAGTATGATCACATCCGCACTGTTGTGTACATATGAAGATGATGTTCAGAAGTCCAGCCTGTAAAGCAGTCTAGAACTGCATCTATTGAGAACTTTTATATATAATTCTCCCAAAGCTCTAAATTTAATCAAAATTAAGACCTCTTACCAATCACAAACTAAAAGCTCTATACCCAGTGGCAGCTTTTTGTTGTCCAAGGGCTTCTGGATGCTAAACAACAGTAACTACTATCAAACACTGGGCGTGTTGTTCACATTGCTGAGGGTTTCAAATGTAAGGTTTAATCCAGGCCTACGTACAGTACTGCAGTTATAAACAGGCTCCTATAATATCCTACTATTTTAAAGTCTGGCATGTTTAGGACAAGCTTAGAGGAACAATCTTATGAAGCCATGGGTTAGTTGGCTGTACCGTATTGATGGCAAAAAATACTTTTCTGTTCTCCTTCTTCCAAAGAAGTCATCCAAGGTTGGATGACATGAGGCTAGAAAAAGCCTCTTCTGAAGACCCCTTAATGTAAAAAACATTCCAGCAGCTAGGAACCACTCCCAGAATATTTCAGCTTGACAACACATTTCATTCAGGTATGAGTTCACAAAATAAAAATATTTTAAAATGTATTGAATCCTTTTATCTTTTCAGATATTCTGTACACTTTAGCAGATTAGAATTTGCTGACCAGCCCGTGTGAACACTGCACACTTTTAAAAGACAGCATTACATTCCTGAAGACGGTAAAAAATTCTTGTCTTTTTGTTTGAAAAATACTTGTGGTTCCTTGAAATTGCCTGAAGGAAAAAAGCCATATCTAACAAATGAATGTCACTTGTATTCTTGTAGAGAGAAAGAAACATTGTGGAGGAAAGTTTAAAATCTGCCGAGGCCTAAAAACGTCTGCAGACATCTAATGTCACTTAAAGTTTGCCATCACTATGAATCAAAACCTGAAAACACAAGGCTGCACTTTTTTCTCTTAGGCCTCTCTCATTTCTGTGTATTATCCTAAACTACAAGTACAACACTTTGCATATTATCCTCCATAAGGTTACAGGCCTTGCAAATCATGTGCTCAAAAGTTAAAAACCTACAGCATTTTAAAAAATTGTTGTCCATTCCATAACCAATATATACCTGGACACAGATTGAATTCTTTGCAGTTAGACAAAAATCATGTATAAAAATAGAGCGACAGGATCACAGGCATGGCAGCTGCTCAAAGATAATGTAGTTTTAATTAATTTTCATGGAGATATTTGTTTATATAAATGAAGGACAATCATTATTAAGCTCACGGTGTTTCGCTGTTGAGGAATGGTCTCACTCTATGAACTCGGTGGCTGTACAATTTTGCAAAGCAGGAACCAATTGGTGGAATTATATGACACTTTAATCACACACATGCAAGAAAATCCACTGCTGACAGCTAATACACAAATTCTTGACATGTTCTATTAAGAGTTTGCTTGGTTTTATTAAACAAGTCCACACAAAAGACAAGCAAAAATATTGATTTATGTACAGCATTTTACCCATGATACTGTATATGGTAATTACAAGCAAATGCACTGTATATTACTCAAGGAAAAAAACCCTTATTTCCAGCAGGCATCGCTGTCTGCAAGTTGCCACACTTCAACATCATCAGCAGGCCAAACCCATCAGTGAAAAGAGACAAAGTTGTCCAAGCTGAACTTCAGAAAGGAAAAAAAAGAAGGCAGTAGAACTGTGATGTCTTCATCCGTTAAATTGTAGGAGAAATCACTGCGATCAAATGTATGGTGGGTTATATCTGGGCTGAAAGAAAAGAATACATTATTTTGAATCCCTGAGAATCTCTTTAAGTTACGATACACGCCTCCACCTCTGCAACTGTTCATACACCAGAGAAGCCTGCAGAACTGCCACCAGACCAAAGGGAACATTAAACCTGTGCACCAGATTCATTCCCACACCACAGAACACCAGGCAGAAACTTGCTACACACTGCACGCTGCCCTTACAGGTACCAGTTTCCTATAGGGGTATTAAACCTACAACATAAGAGACAGAACAAATGTTCTCCTCTACAGAATAGGAATATGTTTGTCTTATAACAGAACAGAATGAGCTTGTCCACTTTACCAACAACATGTTAAAGCATTCTGCTTACTTTGACCACTGCCAATATTAAGGTTGATCTTCAACATGTTCTTTTTCTATATTTTGACCTGTGTTTGAACATTTCCTACCCTGCGTGTACACATTTCCTTCTGTTCTACTGTTCAGAACACTGTACACGGTACAATGCAGAGATGGAAGTACTATAGAGGTATTTGCAAAATTCCTCAGAACCATATTCCCTGAGTTTTGGTGAAAAGGGAAGGACAGCAGCAGAGCTGTATACTAAGTACATTTTGGTCAAATCTTCAGGTCATGATCTATAATGACACAAGAATAATGTAAGGTGATACATAATTTGTTATTCCTTTCTGCTATAATTTTCGACTGCAAAACTGGCCACCCAGTTGGTTTCTCTGTGGTTGCTTAGCCACTGATATGCCTCCACTACGTCACACCTCACGGGAACCAGCAGGACTACGGCCATCGCTCCCCGCTCCCTGCCAGGCAATGGGCCGAGAGCACAGTACAGTACTTCCACCTCTGCGCGAAGGGTGTAGAAGTGACTTTAGAGGTCCTCACTCACCAGGGCTCCCCCAGGAGCAGGGGGTCCACCAAAGGAAGGGGTGGGAAAGGGGTTCCAGGGCCCAGCAGATCCTGGGGGGCCTGCGGGGCCTGGCTGACCTGGGAAGGTCCCCGAGCTGGGGGGGCCCCAGGTACCAGAAGGAAGTGGAGGATACGCGGCCCCAGGGAAGCCAGGGTAGGCGCCAGAGCCAGGAGCAGGGGGGAAGGTTCCAGGGGCACTGGGTCCATAGGGCCCTGCTGCAGGAGGTCCACCAGGGTAGGGCATGTGAGGCGCGGGGTAGGGCCCTGGAGCTGCTCCCGGCCCCGAGGGATATGGTCCAGGGGCACCAGGACCAGCTGGATAGGGTCCTGGGCCACCTCCAGGAAACTGTCCTGGAGCTCCTCCTGCAGGGTACTGTCCTGGGACCCCAGGGCCCGATGGGTACTGTCCTGGG